GTCGGAATTTTTTAAGTTTCAACTTTGCCAAATTTAAACTACCTATACCTATCTCTTACAGTTCCCGAAATCCCCATGGTGGCCCTCGAATTTGAATCACCTTGTATAGCAGACGCCCATATTTCTTGAAAGTTCTCGAACGCTTCCGAACGTTGCCGAATCTTCTAGAATGTTCTCGAACAAATACGTCAAGCTTTATATATATTTTCAAATTTTTGGATTCGTCATTTTATAATACTGATGTGCAGTTCAATTACCTATGTAAAGTTAAAAAATACATCCTAGATTCTAAGAGCGTATAAAATTAAAAAATAATGCAAACAAATTGATGCAGTATTTTGGATTTATCTAAATGTTACTATAACGAAGAATCTGAACCCACAGTAAGATCATCAGTATTAACTTTCTTTAGGTTAACACGTATTTCGCGTAATAGATGCGTTACAAGTTAGCCGATCTACAATGAAGGTATACAGTGATATTCATGTAGAAGTAGACATAGAGATTTCCTATACTTTTACATGATAAAAACTCTCCTGAAAGACGCCGAATTTTATGCAACCAAAGTAACTACCTAAAACAAAATGAGGATTTGCCTGTCATCTCAATTAATTCGAATGCTTTGATTTCCCTATTCTAATTTCGGTTCGTGTGCGATGTATTCAACTGAAGAAAAAGTTGATATTTCCAATTGGTATAGTGCCGATAACAGTTAAAGGAGCTTGAGCTTTATTTTCTGTGAAGCTAAAGTAACAATATTCAAATTAATAATTAATATGACAGCCAGATCTTTATTTGTTTCAAGAAGTTATTTTGGTTGCATAAAATTAGGCGTCTTTCAGGAAACTTTTTATCATGTAAAAGTAGACATAGGAAATTCCTATAGGAAATCCGTATGTCTACTTCTTCTACTGTATACCGAGAATAAGCTATACGCCTATACCTAGAATAAATGTCGACGGTTGCATTGGTTACCATTGTGTCAACCAATGGGATACATGTTGCTATGGCAGTTATTCCAAGAATATCTTATTCTGCGTAAAAGTGTAATTGTAAAACCGGCCCTAAAACGAATTTGCTTGTAGTCAAAGAGGCTTCGTCACGTCATGCTCAAAACTTAAAGCAGTAGCTACGTTTGAAAATAAATGCAATGTAGTGATGTGAGCCCATGGATTGTCGCGACCCTAATTTAAGTATATAGTCCATGATTTCGAATTGTCGCTCCTACGTGAATCCATCAATACAATTTGAAACAATTTTCGCAAATGTTTAAATCAAATGTTAACAGGGAGAAAGAGTCAAATTTTTCATTTGAACGACTTTCCAAGACTCATGTTTGAGGTCCTTCACACTGAAGATAATGAGAATAACCCACAATGCCACTTACTCCATACAAGTTATCATTTGATTCGAGCGCCACCTTGGTTTGATTTAAGAATGAAGGCAAAAGCTTCAAAGGGATTATAGGTATTACACCTTATCATGTTATAAGCAGAAGTACGGAATCAAGCATCCTCGATAACGGTTTTTTTTTGCATCCCATAGGTTATGATTGGCATTCCAAAATGATCACAAAACGAAACTAGAAATTCTCAACATACACGAGTTTCTGAAACGGCATTACAAAAAATAAATGGCTTTTCCTTTACTGCAAAGGTTTGCCGAGTGTGATCGAAATACAGATTACCCTCGTAATCCCACATTTAGTTGACCATTGAATAATAAATCTGAATAATAAATCTGAATAGAAAGACAACGCAATGCTTTTTGAAGGGTCCACTTTAACGGAGTTTCTCCGTAGGTTGCCCTCTGGGACAAACTCCGCTTATTAAAAGCATTGAATTTATAACTATCAAAAGTAACTAAATTTTAATCGAGGTTTTATACCACCTACTCAACTGAATCAAAGTGATTAGATTTCTTTAGATGACGCTACTTTCGCGTACTTATCTCGTAGACTGCGTGGGAGTTATAACAGCAGGTGAAGATCGTATTGCAATATTATCTCTGTATTTACAAACTTATGCTTACGTAATACATGTTATTATTTGCACACCTCTTAGGAAATGACGTCAAAGTTATCAACTTACAAGTAAATCTTGATTCCAACGATCTTACCTTAATTTAAGATCGAAATTAAACTTTACTATTATTGTACCTATAGACAATGTTTTGGGATATTTCAGAATATGCAATATACTGTCAGTCTCAGTTGTGCGAGCATTTACAGATATTGTTTAATTGCTGTTTCCGTATATAAATGCACAAATAACATGTTTTTGAGACAAAATTTGGAATTAAGTACTACTTTAAACAACAACTTTAAAATTCAAATGAGAGAAGTGCAATATAATCTATTATGATGTGAAATGAAAGGTTTTTTAAATCGGCTTCATGAAAGAAATTGTATTGCACTTTTACGAAACTAAGACTCGAAAACGCCATGCCGGCACTTTTGATTCTAAAACCTCTTTCTACGCCTCTCTTGTAACAGATTTTTGATATTTTTTAAATATTAATAATTACGGCACCCGAAAATACCATAAATATCAAGTACTTCTACAATTATTTATGCAAAATTCGAGTATTAAATCAAAAATCTGTTACAATAGAGGCATAGATGTGTCCTTTATCTTTACATCGGCACCTAACAACACGGGATAGAATCCAATTTACTCAAAATGTTATACAAGTCCCACACGTAGACACGCTATTCGACCCGAATCTAGGAAAAAAAATCCAATGAAACAAAAACTACGGAAAAAAAATCCAGGAAAAAAGAGGCACGGAAAAAAAACCAGCGGAAAAATAAGCCAGGTAAAAAAAGTCAGCGGAAACAAAATCCAGGAAAAAAAACATCAGGAAAAAAAGAATGTATAATTAAATTAAAAGGAAACAGTGTTCTTTTCTGGCTTAATTTTCTAAATTATAATTGTAGGCAATTATAGGATTGTTACTTAACGATGGGTGTAATCGCATGCTTTCTTCATCCTCTTACTTGCATTCCTTCAAATGCTTGTAAAATATCTTTTTTTGCCTTTGTTCTTAAGTAACGTACGTAAGTAGTTTCTATGCGTTTTACGAATTAAGCGTTATTCTTATTAAAAATAGATGATGTACCATCAAGGGTAACTTTGTCAAATGCTAAACTACCTCACCTATTCTTTAACAGTTCCCGAGATCCCCATGGTGGCCTTTGAATTTGAATCACCCTGTATAGTTCAATTATTACACATTACACTAAAACTGACCTAAATGAAATAATATCTTGTGTGACATTAAGATAGGCAACATTAGTTACTTAGTAGGATTGATGTACGTGCTGGAATGCGGCCAGCACTGGAGAGGATTAAATACTTTTTCAATCAAACATGGCGCAGTCGGTAGGATCCAACCGCTAAAAGAAACCCGAATTTAAGGCATTTGTGCGAGCGGATGACAGGATTTGTGGAAACAAGCGCTCCGGATAAATCGAGACGCCAAGCGAGCCACCAGCAATGGAGAAACTAGACCCCAGGTACTTTATTTGTAGGGCCACTCCCCCGACACTCGACGTCGACAACGTCGACTGGACCCAATGGAAGGAGGATTGGGAAACCTTCAAAGGCCACTCGGGAATCAATCGCCTTTTAGAGGCCGACTACACGAAACCACCCTCAGACGAAGTCACGACCGCAATGCGTGCAGCAAAGAGAACAATTACGGTAGACGCCTTAAAGACAACGTTTACACCGAGTACAGCCAAAGTGGTGCGCAACCTTCCCTTGACACAAGCAGAACGCCAAGACGCGACAACAATCATCTGCGGCCTCGAGGAATACTTGGAGGCCGGCACCAACAAACGCGTCTATCGAAAGGAGTTTCAGGCCCGCATACGCACCGAGGACGAGACCTGCGACGCATATATGATTGCACTCAAGGACATGGCGAGGAAGTGCAAGTTCACACAAGAGGCTGACCCCGAGTCAGAACGCATTCTCGACCAGGTAGTGGCAGGGATAAACGACAGGGAAATCACGGAGAAGTTGCTACAACTGCCTAACACAGCCACACTGGACGATGCCTTGAAACTAGCCCGAAACATCATGGCGTCAAGAAGAAATGCAGAAGCAATAATAGCTAGACCCACAACCGACACACCAATGGCCAGCAGACTCAGGCAAAACACACGTGTGCCACCCAAGGAACAGATTGACAAGAACAAAAGAGGTACTTGCGGCAAATGTGGCCACGGGAAAGACAAACCATGGCACCAAACCAAAGGATGCCCAGCAGCAAAAGCCACCTGCCGCCATTGCAACAAAAAGGGCCACTACGACAGGTGCTGCCCTACCTTCCCAGACGCAGGAGGCCGACCTCGGCCCACTGCCCAAACCAATGCCATAACAGACACCAGTGAGGACGAAGGCGCACTGAGTTCCATCGTGAGCGAGATCAACACTGCCACCCTCAAGAATCCACTGGACCCACTGGAGAAGCTCGGCACGGAGACGGTGACAATTGCCCACTGGAAGGGGATCAGCAGCAGACGGGTCTCATGCCTAGCGGACACAGGAAGCAATACAACATGCGTTCCCCTCCAGGACCTGAGTCGTCTGGGCCTGACAACGAGCGACTTAACTCACACCAAACCACCACCACAATCCCCGAGGCAAGCCGATGGGCAGCCAAACAACCTCCGCACAGTTGGCATCTTTAGGGCCAGGGTTTCATGGGCACCCAGCAACAGGGAAACAATCGCAGACGTATACGTCATCGACGGCCTCGCACAGCCGATGCTGTCACGCCAAGTGTGCCGGGAGCTACAGATTTTCGTTAGCCCCCACCGACCTACAATCAACAACACTCAATGACTAGTCGGGCATGGTTGTTCTGCAACAGCCGCAAGCCCGACCACATCCAAAGCACCAGGACATACGATTTCAGACGCTTCACGGAAGACAGCTTGGGACGCATTACGCCAAGAATTCCCAAGACCGCTGGCCGGAATCTGCAGACCCATGAAGGGCGGCCCAGTCGCCATAAAACTACGACGTGATGTGAGCCCAAAACAACAATATGGGACACGCCCCATCCCACTCAACCTCCAGGAGGCGGTCAACCGGGAGATCGACGAGCAGGTGGCCGCGGGCATCATAGAATTCGCTGACGACACCAACGACCCATCGGAATGGATTAACCCAATGGTGGCCACTCGTAAGAAAGACCCATCAAAGGCACGCATCACGGTGGACCTACGAGAACTAAACAAAGCGACAATACGTCCGATCTACCCATCCCAATCCCCCATTCACACAGTCTGCCACCTACCAAAGACGGCAGCGTACTTCACAGTCCTGGACGGCCTCAAAGGGTTCCATCAAATCGACCTAGAGGAAGGAAGTCGCAAACTCACAACGTTCATCACTCCCAGAGGGCGCATGAGGTACTGCCGAATGCCCATGGGGTGGCATGGGTCCAGTGATGTCTTTAACGAAAGGATGGCCAAAGCGCTAGAGGGCATCCCCCACATTGCCCGAATCGTAGAGGACATACTGATTTATTCAACGACATGGGAGGAACACATTCAGGATGTAAAGCGAGTACTACAAGCCTGCGACGCCCACGACATTTCAATTAACCCAAGTAAAGTACAATTTGGTATGAAAAGGGTCAAATTTGGGGGTTTCATCGTCAAACAGGGCCAATACCAAATCGACCCGGAATTAACCGAGGACCTGAGACAGTTCCCAGTCCCAGAGAACCGAACAGATCTTCGATCCTTTATGGGTCTTGCCCAGCAACTAGGAGGGTTCTCGACCGACCTCACTACGATCCTAGAACCGTTACGGAGCCTCCTCTCATACAAGGCCGACTGGGCATGGCAACCTTACCACCAACAAGCCTTCGAGGAAGCACGAATCGTCCTGTCGAACCCACCACACCTAACGTACTTCGATCCACGACGACAAACCCAGCTCCTTACAGACGCGTCTCGCCTACATGGGCTTGGGTTCCTCCTACGCCAAAAATGCGACGAGGGCACGTGGAGAACGGTCCAGTGCGGAAGCAGAACGCTTGCGAAGCACGAATCCAACTGGAGCGGCATGGCCGAACTAGAGGCGCTCGCGGTGGCATGGGCGGCAAAGAAATGCGCGTTTTTCCTAGATGGCCTGGATCACTTCGAGATCATCACCGACTCCAACCCATTGGTCTCCATTTTGAACAACAGGCGCTTGGACCAAATCCAAAACGACCGGCTCCTCAAACTGAAGACCACCTTGCTTCGCTACAACTTCACCGCACGATGGCAAGCTGGGAAACGCCACAAGATCGCAGACGCCCTCTCACGCAAACCAAGAAACGAGCCTAGAACAGCAGACCAAGTTCTCACGCAAGAGGAAGACGCAGATAGAGAATTTATTATTGCCACAGCCATATCCCAATTGGACTCGGCCATACCAAATCCATCACTAGACGCTCAACAGGAGCACATTCAAACCATTCGACGGGTGGGCCAACAGGACCCCACCTACAAAGCACTGCTGCGGCGCATACACCACGGCTGGCCCGACAGCAAACAGCAACTCCTTTGCGAGGACGAGTTGCTAGCACCATACTACAAGGAGCGAGAATCTCTGTACGCGCAAGATGACATCATCCTCCACGGACCACGCCTACTCGTCCCAGGCCCCATGCGGCGTCAAATTTTGCACCACCTACATGCGGCACACCAGGGCATCTCCAAAACTCTGGAACGAGCAAGGATGACAGTATGGTGGCCAACAATTGCAACCGATGTCACAGACGTGATCCGCCACTGTCGACCCTGCCAAGAACATCTCCCATCGCAACCACACGAGCCCATGCAACGCGGCCCAGACGCAGAGCGCCCTTTCCAAAAACTCCACGCCGACCTATTCGAAGTAGCCGATACCCATTACTTGGTTTTGACTGATGAATTCTCCGGATGGCCCGACATCACAACGCTCGG